ACATTTTAATACTTACATACATTTTAATACTTAAATACATTTTGATACTTACATACATTTTGATACTTACATTCATTTTAATACTTACATTCATTTTAATACTTACATACATTTTAATACTTACATACATTTTGATACTTACATACATTTTGATACTTACATTCATTTTAATACTTACATTCATTTTTAAACTTACATTCATTTTAATACTTACAAACATTTTAATACTTACATACATTTTAATACTTACATTCATTTTAAAATGTTAAGTACTTTCCCAATGGCGTTTTCCCAAGCGGCAACTTTATGGGTATTAATCCAAGTGCCAACTTCCCAAATGTGCAATTTCCCAAGCGGCAACTTACATTCACTTTTATACTTATATTTATTCTAATACCTACAACAGCATTCATTATAATAACTAAAAACTTTGAAGTACACATTTATTCATTGTTATAATTCCTTTGAAAATGCAGAATAGAATTCTTTAAATTTAAATTCAAATTTTCTCTTTCTAATTAGTTTTCAGTCTCCTAATTATGATCTGATTCTAAACACTATTAACTTGAAAAGGCTTTGTATAAGATTAATCTGATTAAAACCTATTCAAGTTTGGAAATAAGGATTTGGGAACTTTCTGCCATTAATTGGAACAGCCATTGACTCATCAATGGATTCAGTAAAACCCTTAAATCTTTAAAATTTTAAGACGAACGTTAGACTCAAGGTGTGATTTTTAATAGTCTAATCTACATTTTTACTTTACTAGTAAAACTATTTACTAAAAAAAAAAAATTAAATAAACATAAGACTGCTAATGAGTAGTCTTATGTTTGTTGTATGGGGCCAACTGTGGTGTCCAATTTTTCTATAAAACTTTGTTAATGAAAGTGTACTTTAAAACTTTAAACATATGTTGTAAAATGAAGGTACCAAATATATGTTGTAAAATGAAGGTACCAAATATCGTAATAAAAAACTGCCCCAAAAAAGAAACAGGGAAAATGCTCATTTACATTCATCATTCTCTCTATCTTTCTACTTTTCAACCTCGCTTTTTCCCATCTCATAGTCCCTATATATATAGATATATCTTTATGTTTAACCATCTTTATGTAAACCTATTACTACTAACCATGTTTATTAACTGAATAGGAGCAATCCAAAACAATTTGTATCAATAAATATGAAAACTGAGAAGCTGATCTGACTATTTTTAATTATCTTTATGTCTCACATCTCTCCCTATTTTGGTCTATCTATGTGTTTATGTTTCTATTTAGCTCTTTATTAATCTCTTCTGAAGTAAAAATCCAGAGGTTTCGTGATTATATATTCTTATATTTACATTACAATGGTTAACGAGATAAAATGGAATGATAAGATGACTGATAAAGCTCAATAAACAAATAATTAACAGTAATGCAGTGCTAATTGCTTCATGTATTTTTTATCTACAGTGATAACCAGAAAACTCTGGAATAGAAAGTCGACTTTTAGACTCAAGATATGACTCTAAAAACTTCAATGAACACGAGGCACAGCAATTGTGCAGTGTAAAGAGACCCATTTCACTTAATTAGTGATTTAATAACTTACAAATAAGGCTTGCTTTGTAATAACATACTATATACTTCAGTATTGCATTATGTCGTCTTCATATTCTACAGTTTTCTGGTTATCACTGTATATCTTATATGATACAAAATTACCCACAAAGAAAGAGGATTAAAATGTGACTTGAATCCTCAACAAGGAAATAGGAAATAAACATTAAATGTGAACTGCATCGTCAATAGCATTTGTTTCAAGACTATTCAGGGGATCATTGACCTTATCACGTCAGTTGTTCTGAATAGGAAATAAACATTAAATGTGAACTGCATCGTCAATAGCATTTGTTTCAAGACTATTCAGGGGATCATTGACCTTATCACGTCAGTTGTTCTGAATAGGAAATAAACATTAAATGTGAACTGCATCGTCAATAGCATTTGTTTCAAGACTATTCAGGGGATCATTGACCTTATCACGTCAGTTGTTCTGAATAGGAAATAAACATTAAATGTGAACTGCATCGTCAATNCTTATGTATCCCCTTGAATCCCTGTATAAACCAGAATAAACCTGTATCCCTCTGTATCCCCCTGTCTCCCCTTATGTATCCCCTTGAATCCCTGTATAAACCTGAATAAACCTGTATCCCTCTGTATCCCCCTGTCTCCCCTTATGTATCCCCTTGAATCCCTGTATAAACCTGTGAAAACCTGTATCCCTCTGTATCCCCCTGTTTCCCTCTATGTATCCCCTTGTATCCCTGTATAAACCTGTATAAATCTGTATCCCATTGTATCCCCTTGAATCCCTGTATAAACCTGAATAACCTGTATCCCTCTGTATCCCCCTGTCTCCACTTTTGTATCCCCTTGAATCCCTGTATACACCAGAATAAACCTGTATCCCTCTGTATCCCCCTGTCTCCCCTTATGTATCCCCTTGAATCCCTGTATAAACCTGAATAAACCTGTATCCCTCTGCTGTATCCCCCTGTCTCCCCTTATGTATCCCCTTGAATCCCTGTATAAGCCTGTATCCCCCTGTCTCCCCTTATGTATCCCCTTGAATCCCTGTATAAACCTGAATAAACCTGTATCCCTCTGTATCCCCCTGTCTCCCTCTATGTATCCCCTTGTATCCCTGTATAAGCCTGTATAAATCTGTATCCCATTGTATCCCCTTGAATCCCTGTATAAACCTGTATCTCTCTGTATCCCCCTGTATCCATCTGTCTCCCCCTATGTATCCCCTTGTATCCCTGTATAAACCTGTGAAAACCTGTATCCCTCTATATCCCTCTATCTCCCCCTGTCTCCTCCCTATGTATCCCCTTGTATCTCTCTCCCCTTGTCTAAACAAAGAAATGCTTAAAAACTATTTTGCAAACCTTTCATGATGTTGTGTAGTTGATGGTGATTTTTCGCATAGTTTGAGTCCAGAAAAAGAACATATTGTAAACTACTGAAAATTCTATTATGATAAAAATTCCAACAAAACCTACTCAAAAGTCTATACTAGAAAAAAGCAAATATGAATATTTTATAAAAATGAAAGACTGGAAGAACAAATATACATCATAGCTTGGCATTGAAAGATACACATTTGTCGTCAAATACAGGGGATGAAGTTTTTTAACCGTTTTTCCAGCTGTATCTAAAAAATCTTTATTTCTGTGTTTCAGACCCGAGAGAAACCCATGTTAAATGTTTTTAATGTCTTAATTATAAATTTTCCAGCTGTTTTTACATAAACGAACTCTTAACAACTCGTTAACAGCTGTCTTTGTTAACAAATTCTAAAATATCTTTCGTTAACGCCATAATAGATTTGAGATCGTTAACGAACAGCAACTTTGAAGAATGAACATAAAATATTCAGTTATTAGCTGAAGAACAAACAGCTTTCAGAAATTTGTATTTTAAGCGATTTTAACTTACCATTAAAGAATGGCTTGAAAAAAGTCTAAATGTGCCCAGCACTACAGCAAACCGGTTTATCATGGTTAACCCCCAGCTGGATATTAGCTAGCACTTTAATCTGTTATATTTTAGAGCCAACAGCAAACCGGTTTATCAATTAACCCGCTGGTGGTTACAGCTAGAGTGTGTTTGGCTACTCCAGCTTATGCTAGCATCACAGGTAGTTAACCCTATTCCTGCTGGGGGGGGGGTCAATTTGACCCCCCCCCCCTGTAGTTTTTTTTACATAACTCAAAAAGTATTGGTCTGAGGCTGTTGAAATTTTCTGACTTTTCCTACATACCCAAAGCCCTCCCTTTAGGCCTAAAACCGGGCTTTAATACTAACTGCCTGAGTCCTCAGGCACACTGCCTGAATGACTGCTTTTTCCTGTAACAAACTAAATCTTTGTTTTGACCCACTTTAACTTGTCAGATTTTAATAAAATTTAGCTTTTTGGAAAGCCTTTGACATAAGGAAACGAATTGCACAAGTTTTGCGAAAAAAAAATTGCAATTTTTTTGCTAACAACCTGTCAAAGGAAATTTGCTCAATTTTAGTTTTTCTTGATTAAAAATCAGGTTATTTAAAATTTTGCACAATTTTTTGCATATTTAAAATGGCATGGTCAAGGGCTTTTCAAAAATGTATAATTTTTCATTTTTTGAACAAATTTTTTTTTGCAAACATTTTTACTATATAACTGGATTTTGCGATAAAAAATTAAATTTTTGCAAATTTGCAAATTTTTTTGCAGATTAAAGTAGAGGACAAGAGCTTTCCAATGATGTATCATTTGTCATATTTGGAAATCAAACATGGGATTTAGAGGGGGGGGGGTCAACTTGACCCCCCCCCAGCATATCCTGGTTTTCAAGTACCCCAGCAGAGATAGGGTTAACAAGGTGTAACGATAATCCTTTACTATTATATAAGCAATTGCCTGAGGAAGTTACGTGAGCTTACCGCGCATTGAATTACAAAAAAAGAGAAAGATTAGTATATATTTTAGAGTTAGGTAAGGGCCGAGTGCTACGGCTAGGACAGGCTAGGGGTCGAGCACCGCGCGGTGAGGACAGGCTAGGAGGTCGAGTGCTGCGGTTAGAACAGGCCCGCTCTCTGTATTGTAATTCAACGCCGCATGTGCACGTAAGTTCCTTGGGCTCCTGCCATGTATAGGCCAAGAACTAGAGTTGGGTGTGTTCGGCTTTTTTCATTTCGTTCGTTCATTGTTCATAAACAACACAATTTGTTCGGGTTTTTTTTCAATCGTTCAAAAAAATGATTTTATTTGTTCTCAAAATTAGCGTTAATTTTTGGTTCTAATTGGATGTTCTAAACCATTATTGTTTTATCTTTTTTTCGTGAAGAATTCAAATTGTTAATCATTCAATGAGGTAGTACAAAAAAAAATTATTCATTGCAATTGTTCAGGAATGGATGATTTCTGTCAGAAGAATTGTCTCTCCTATCCTCCAAACTGTCCAGAGGTAAACAGAAAATCAAATGAGCCATACCCCGAAAGAATTTATGAAATGTCGTCTTGACAATTTTTCAATGGGTTTTATACTATTTTACGTAAATCTCAGTATTTGCGAAAATAAATAAATAGCCATGAATATGCGGGAACATTTTTAAAGAGCTCCATATGATCATTAAATTAAAAAACTAGATACCTGCAACATTCCATTATCAGAAAGAGATCGATGTTTGCCTTATTTAGGGTTTAACTGCACACTACACACACCCCTCTGCAGTTTACTGGCAGATAAAATAGGGGTTTTAGGAGAGAGTGATTTAACATAGAACAATTAGAAGTTTTTAGTGGGAATAGGTGCCGCAAAAAAAAGATGTACTACCCAAGGGAATTTGTTGTTTGTAATAGAGGTCAAAAGTTTTGTGAATCCCTGGATCAAGCAGTTATTAGTAGATCCTTGTTCTAGATTGTTCCAGACTGTTCTTTTTAACCAATTACCGTGCGTTTTACGTTTGTTCTTTTATAAAACATTCCAATATTTTAAGAACGCGTTTAAGTTTTCTTCATTCGGAACAATGGCAACGTTCTTGATAGTTATTAGCATCTTATGCAGTTCTAAGTATTAAAATAATTCCTCGTAGAAATTCCAAATTAGTTACTGCTCATTTCCTACAAAAATAACTTTAATTGAGGGATTAAGAAAAATAAGATCAAGGTTTGTAGAGAAAACCTATTTCATACAGGAGTGGTAATTGCTTTGGGTAGGAAATCAAATATAAAGATATTGTTGATTCTTTAGAATGAGAAAAGGGAAGGGGAATCAGAATTAGAAAAATAAGAGTTCTTTTATTGCTAGACTCGGGATAAACAAAAAAAATTGTAGTTCTAATGTCCTCTTCAGGATTACAAGGGTTTGAAATGTACTCTTGTATATATGTTCATGAATATATTCTATTTTGATACATGAAAAAATATATTTTCCAATCTCATACTTACATATTTTGCAATTTAAGACTCAAACGAATATAGTGATTTGCGGAAAAATATTCATAAAATATGTTCAATGCATTCAGATGTATTACAGTGAAATCTCTCAGAGAATAGATGATTAAATAGGTCATTAAGTGTTATAATATATAAATCATAAATATTTCTCTCGTCTTAGTGATGAATTGATCCCTGGATTAATTGATAAATTGATTTTATTGATTTATTTAAAGGATCGATGCTACTGTTTATCCCACTGCGAGGCTACAGGCCGGTTAGCTGGACAGGAAGGTACAGATGTCTTCTGCCACAGGTAGATTATAATAAATAGTATAGAATAGTATTGATAATCATAATAATGATAATAATTATAATAATAAAAATAATAATAATAATAAATACTAGGAACTGCCTACGCTACCCTCCACACTGTCCTGAGGACTCCTGCAAGTGTTTCAAGGCGAATAGTCCTGCTCGGGTAGGTTTTATCGCAAAAAATCATGCTATAGGGTAGGTTTCAAGGCGAATAGTCCTGATTGGGTAGGTTTCAAGGCGAATAGTCCTGATCGGGTAGGTTTCAAGGCGAATAATCCTGCTCGGGTAAATTTTAAGGCGAATAGTCCTGCTAGAGTAGGTTTCAAGGCGAATAGTTCTGCTAGAGTAGGTTTCAAGGCGAATAGTCCTGCTAGCGTAGGTTTCAAGGCAAATAGTCCTGCTAGAGTAGGTTTCAAGGCAAATAGTCCTGCTAGGGTAGGTTTCAAGGCGAATAGTCCTGCTACAGGGTAGGTTTCAAGGCTTCAAGGAGAATAGTCCTGCTAGAGTAGGTTTTAAGGCGAATAGTCGTGCTAGGAAAGGTTTCAAGGCTTCAAGGCGAATAGTCCTGCTAGAGTAGGTTTCAAGGCTTCATCTTTCTGAAGATAAAAATAATGGTTTTGATTTAATGTAAACAACTAAGTCACGATCTCGTTTGCTATGTCAACCAGACAATAGCGATATTGATCAATGTCTCAAACAGGACACAATTTTAAATTGTATGTTTCAACAAAAACCAAATTACTCTACACTGTAATCAAAGCGCACTGTAAAATTAAGCGAGCTAAGTTGGATCTTTTTTATATTCGAATCAATATTTTTGTAAATAATATTCATTATTATTTATAATATATTCAATTCAGTTGTATAAAAATCACTCGCATTGTCAATGCGTGATTATTTACGTATTTTATTCCAAAGTTTTGAAAAAAATATTCAATAGATAGGAATATTATTGTCCTATTGGATTCTAATTGGTAAACAAAATTATTCAAAATTTAGGTAAAATTTATTTAATATTATTGTTGTGATCGCGCGATTCCGAAATATTGAATAAAATATACAATCTCAAATTTTACAGTGCGGAGTTTATGTATTAACTAATGTTAAAGTTAATAGACGTAATTACAATTGCTACGTTGGTATCTATACAACATGATTAAGGCAATCATGTTGTATATTACAGCACAGTTAGAAATAGTCCCAATTTAACATTATATATCGCATGATTAAGCTAACAATGCTACGTATTCATTTAAAGCGCAGTTTAAATGCATAATGATTCTTACGTAGAAGTTTACATTGATAATGTACAATATATTGCAAATTTAAAGAATGTCGTGTTACCCGATATTTATTACATATTTAAACCTGATGTAGTAAAACTATGAATTCAGCTAGATCAAAGGTTTACACCATCAGGTTGCAAAGAATAAAGGGATTGGAAAAAAATTTCATTCACTGTCAATCATTATCACCCAATATCAAAATAATGTCTTTGACATTTTTATACTGAAAATTCAATGAATGAATAAAAAGAATTATAAAACGGAAAAAAGCTGAGAATATAAAATACCTCAGGTCTGATTTTCTTTAAACATGAATTTTAGAATCTTTGAGAGCTTTCCAATTGTATCTTACGTAACTTTTTAGTCTTTTTTTCTTTTTGAAATAAAGAAAGTCATGTACCTTGCAACCTGAAGTTTTTAAATTACTATTTACTTCTTGATCAGAAAAAAACGTTTTATATAGTCTTCATAACTTCTCAATATCTTAATTCGAATTTCATATATTTTATTATTTTTTTGAAAATATACATCCTCACGAGACAAATTTGCAACAAATATGTTGCAGAATATCTTTTAGCATTTTTCGTTATTAAATAAATTTCTCCGGGCAAGAAGTACACAAATTGAGATTTATTGATGTTTAGGGTAGTACAGGGTCGGATAGAAATAGTGTTTTAAGTTAGAGATCAAAGAAATTACAGGGTGTCTAAAAAAGTTAGTCAATATTTATTATGTAGGTTTAATAGGTATTGCAAATAATACGCAGAAAAGGTCGATTTACAAATTACTAAAAATTGATAGTGGTTAATTATTTACGAAAAAAATAAAAGGAAGAATAAAAATTGGAAATAATATGTTTAAAACCATAAACTCGTTTCTATTCATATTATCTGATAACTAGTTGGAACAACGTGCCACTGAATAAATATTATTAGGAAATAATCATCGCAAAATATAAACATTTTACATTTTTAGCAATTATTCACATAAGTTCAAAAGTTTCATGATCCGAACCAGTACAAGAATTGCCTAATGTAGTGGTCCGGCTAGTGTACCCAGTATGTATTTGACCCAGCCCGTCTAGTGTACCCAGTATGTGGTTGACCCAGCCCGTCTAGTGTATTCAGTATGTAGTTGACCCAGCCCGTCTAGTGTACCCAGTATAAAGCTGACCTAGCCCGTCTAGTGTACCCTGTACGAAGTTGATCCAGCCGTCTAGTGTATCCAGTATGTAGCTGACCAAGCACGTTTAGTGTACCCAGTACAAAGTTGACCCAGCCCGTCTAGTGTAACCACTATGTAGTTGACCCAACCCGTCTAGTGTACCCAGTACGAAGTTTACCAGCCGTCTAGTGTACCCAGTATGTAGTTGACCCAGCCCGTCTAGTGTACCCAGTATGTAGTTGACCCAGCGCGTTTTTATGAAAAAGAATAAGGCGGGCGGAACTATGGTGAATAGCCATTCTAATTAAGACAGAAGTTGCATAAAAAAGAATATGATAATATGATATTTTATAAATTTGAAAATTTATCTTTTTAAACCAATGAATTTCAATTAATTCGGATTCAAATAATTCTGATTATTGAAGATATTTTCTTCTGATCACTAATATTAAACTCTTGCAACCTGATTTGTACGATAATTCAAACTTTATCTGTCCGAATTCGTGATTCGAAATATCAAAGTTCTACCACATTAGGTTGCAAGGATATGATTAGAAATTTGGGATTTCAAGACAAAAAATCATCTTATTTTAAGTGTCCCAAGAACATTTATTATGAGACCAAAAAAAACTTTGGAATAGAACATTATAGCAATGAAGTACTTGAGATGATTTTTAATCAAATGGTTTTACAGTTTATTAAAAATCAATTTAAAATTAAAGGGACCGTTCACTTATTTGGGTAATTTTAGGGTAAACTAAACAGCCTATTCGCTGTTGATTGGTATTTGTCTTACTTTTCAAAGACAACTGTGGCCGGAGAAAAAGCCGATTTTTCGTTCAGAATTCGAGCGGAAAGTTATGGTACCTTTGTCAGAAATAGTATAATAGACGTTTTTCAGCAACAGCAGCCCAATAAAATGTCATTATGTGTTCGTTATTATGTACTAAAATTTACTAAAATTACCCAAATAAGTGAACAGTCCCTTTAAGTGAAATAGGTTTGTGAACAATGCACAATCGCTGCTTTTTATGTTCAATTGGGCTGTTTAAAGGGACTGTAAGTGCAATTTCAAGTGACCCTCCATATACAGGTGATGCATGGCACTGCCCAATTTAAAACGGTACCACTGAAACCTTTATTTGATCAGAAATGTGGAAGATAACGTCGTTTTTCTGAGACAAAAAGTATCTTATTCTGAAATTCCATTGTTTCTTCTAATCAAGAAATGCGCAATTCACTTCTAAAGAAATCCCTCTAATGAAAATAAATAATAATAAAATACATCTAAAGATAAATCTAATTTAGTTTTCATCAGACAAAGCTTTTAAGGGTACCGTCGGAAATAGGGGATTGCCATCTTTGTATGAAGGATCACTTAAAATTACGCTTACAGTCCCTTTATCATTTTAAATTGTGTCAATAGTCGTCTTCTTCTTCCACGCTTGTATAGGTCTCTTCGTAGGATTCATAAATATTCATCAAACATTTTAATTTCATTTTTAGATTGTTTCTCAAGTGCCTGCTTCCTTCTTTGTGCAGCAAATCAATGGATAAACTCGTGGCAATAGTTTTTATTTATCCTTCTGAACCAGAGTAACTAGTTCATATTCATCTTATTAATCCTTCTGAACCAGAGTAACTAGTTCATATTCATTTTATTTATCCTTCTGAACCAGAGTAACTAGTTCATATTCATCTTATTTATTCTTCTGAACCAGAGTAACTAGTTCATAATCATCTTATTTATCCTTCTGAACCAGAGTAACTAGTTCATTTTCATCTTATTTATCCTTCTGAACCAGAGTAACAAGTTCATATTCATCTTATTTATCCTTCTGAACCAGAGTAACAAGTTCATATTCATCTTATTAATCCTTCTGAACCAGAGTAACTAGTTCATATTCATCTTATTTATTCTTATTGTAAAGGATTAAATAAGCGATTTATATTTTGTTTTTGATATAATATGTTAAATAAACTGATTTAATCTAATTTTGATATAATATGTTAAATAAACTGATTAGATGTATCTAATTTTGATATAATATGTTAAATAAACTGATTAGATGTATCTAATTTTGATATAATATGCTAAATAAACTGATTAGATGTATCTAATGTTGGTATAATATGTTAAATAAACTGATTAGATGTATCTAATTTTGATATAATTTGTTAAATAAACTGATTAGATGTATCTATTATCTACGTCATTTGTATACCTTCTTTAATCCGCTATGAGAGAAGATTGATTAAGGAAAATTATGAAAAAATCAAAGATATTAGTTTCTTCAATTATGATAAAGTAACCTGTAGAAAAATATGTTTTATAATTAACCAGCTTGGAAACCCAGCACTCTGACAAGATTACTAAAAGTTACTCCCACCGTTTACCCGCAATTGAACGATTTTACCGGAAAGCTAAATTTTCGCTATTAAAGTCGACCTACTCCACATTTCCATGGCTCTCCCAAGTTCCCCAATCAAAATTTGAGTCAAATCGGTCAAGGGGTTCCCGAGTTATGATCGGACAAACAGAGATTACAACTTTATATAACTGAAGAGCCCGGCGAAGAAAAAAAATAATTTTAAAAAACTTCAAATTTTTTTAGAGAACATTATTTATTATTCATTGTCAAATATGAAATTCATAATAAAGATGTGTTCTACAAGGAATTAGTACTGGAAAACTTTTTCCCGTTATCATTACCTCCTTACTTTTTTCTGTAATATTTTTTTTTCTTAATTTGTTTGGTATTTCTTGAAGTTTTACATTTGTGTAATTTATAAATAGTAAGTTTGAGCCTTTATGTATGTGTGAAACGTCGTATGTTTTTTTCAGTTTTGCAATTTTTTGCAATATATACTACTGTTATTTAAGCTGTCATACATTTTAAACAGTTTACGTAAAATCAAGGCAAGATATAACACTGTGCTCTGTTTTGCTGACAATAAGTCTTTAATCTAAACGATATTCTGGTTCCGTAACACTGCAGTCAAATCCAAGACAAGAATCTTTTTTAAATTTACAAAATGTGTTCTCTTTAATAAACATGGAAAGGGAGGTTAAATTGTGGAGTGGTATGTTAAAAGTTCCCCACTGCAAAAGCACAGGGTGTCCCGTGAAACATGACAGATGGTAAATAGTTTTGAATGTCTTCTTCTTGTTGCAGTTTATTTTGTTTTAAAAAATCTTATACTCAAATATATTTTACTTTGAAATCAATTTCAACATTATATTACTGCCATATAATATTTTTATTGTTCTGTTTGGTTTCAAACCACTTAACAAACTATGGAAGAAGACATTTTAAACTGTTTACCAACTGTCATGTTTCGTGGGACACCCTGTACATGATATAGTTATACAATACATATATGATGGTTAGATTACATATCTATTCTAATACCTCATCGAAACTTTGTCCAAATTTGCATATTATTCCTCGCCTATCAGAAGTTACTTCATGTTGCTTCATGTTCATATATTCATTCAAATAATTCAAATATACTCACTAAACTTGAAATTTTACTTTAATTACTGTAAACTTTAATATTTAAAGCTCACAAAATCTAAACTCTCTGTAACAATTACAAGGAAAAAGAAGGGAAAATTTCAAATGTTTTTAAGTTAAGAAAAGAGGGGGGATGTTTTAAAATTAAGAAAAGAAGTGGGATATTTTAAAATTGCAAATAATTTTTTATACAGTGAAACCCTTAATAACGAATACATCGAAAGAATTTATCAAATGTCGTATTCTTCACTTTCTGATAATGGAATGTTGCAGATATTTAGTTTTTTAATTCAGTGATTATATGGAACTCTTTAAAACTGTTCCCGCATATTCATGGCTATTCATTTATTTTCGCAAATACTGAAATTTACGTAATATAGTAAAAAACTCATTGAAAAATTGTCAAGACGACATTTGATAAATTCTTCCGATGTATTCAATATTAAGGGTTTTACTGTATTTCTTCAAAATGATATGCTTTTTATCCAATAATCGAATGACAATCATTTATCTAAAATATTTGCAAAATAAAATTAGTTTTAAATATGGGAACGGAATCAAATAAAATAAACAAAATGCAAAAATATCTTAATTATCTATTTTTATTTTCGCAGAAACAAATTAGCAGACCATCTAAACAAATATTTATTATTTTTAGAAGAAAAACAGTGTCCAAAGTCCAAAACTTAATCTAAATATTTTAAATTTTAAATTTGCTATCTATTTGCTGTGGTTGTATTTACTAAGATACAGTACAAGGTATATGGTTTATATCAACTGCACTTCACAGAAAAATCGAATAGAGATAAAAATAATCAATTTTACAACTTTATTTACTCCCAAGTTTTTGCAAACAGTCTCTTTTATAAAAACTGTTATTATTAAAAAATTTGGATTTTTACTAAATATCGGATTTGTTTTTAATACGTTTATATCTCTTTAAATTTTTCATAAAATTTAAAAAATTGAAATATGTAATTTGGAAAAGTTTTTTCTTATTACATTTTATAATCATTTTATAAATAAAAAAATAAAAAATTGTATGTGTGTATGATTAGATGCGTATTCACAGGAGGGGGGCTAAGGAACCTCAGCCCCCCACCCCCTGGGATCAGTTAAATCTGTGGTTTTCATTGGGGTGTTTCGGCCTAACAAGTGCGGAGACCCTATGGAAGGAAATAAATTAAACCACCCTGGACAATTTCCTGTATACGCCCATTGTGTATATATGTATACGGACGTAATACTTTGAGAGATGAAACTTTTATAAAAAAAATATTACATTTGCCCCCTCTTGAGTTACCCCGCACAAAATAAAGACTGATGGGCACAGACAACCGCAAAAAGTGAAGTCTTGACGGAATAGACAACGCCGAAACACTTTTTTTAAAGTAGATGATAAAGGATGAGACTTCAGAGACGACTGTACGGATTTTGTACAGTATTTCTTGGTTCCTTGCAATATAGTAAACTAGCATCTATGGGAAAACTTATAATGCTTAAACCAAGCTAAGAACATTCCCGTGGTTCTCCCGAGTTTCCCAATAAAAATTTGAGGCAAATCAGTCAAGGGGTTCACGAGTTATGATCAGAAACAGACAAACATAGATAACAACTTTATACACATAGATATAATAAATTTTATTCAGAACCTAAATTGTAACCACCTTAATTTTTAATTCTAAGCGTTTTAAAATCTTCATTCTTCATTAAAGTCTGATCCTGTGTGGGTAGTGGGTACCCCCACTACCCACACATATTAGTGTTGTGTGAAAGAAGACGACATTTTCAACGCTCCTGGTTTTGGGTCTATCTTATATTGGATAGAAAGATAGGTCAGGTATGTATTGTATGTATTCATTAACCCCATTCTCTACCTCAAGCCAGTTTCTCCACAAAAAGTAGGGCAACAATTCTCTTCAAATTATTTGACAAAATAAACTTTGAAATATATTTTTTAAAGATATTTTTTTAATTAAACTAATTTAGAAAAATGTTTATCCCTGTTCCCTATATTATTATCTCTGTCTATGTTATACCTCAAGAGTTGTATGTGTTCTCAAGACTGATTTTCAGAAGAAAGTAATGGAAGATAAGTGCATGACGTGATAAAATATTAGCAAAACAGGAAAAAAATTAACACTGATAAACCTGAAATCTTTAAAAATCTTTAAAACATTTACCCATAAAGACTTCATGGTTCAGTATTATAATTATTGTATCTATCATTATTATAACTTCATTTTAGTATTCGCACAGATGTTGATTTACGACATGAGGCCTAAATTCAAGGTGCCATTATTGTTATAAATTTAGAATGCAGTGATCAAGAAATATATAGACCAGGAACCGCCATATCTGATGCGTAAATATGTGTACTGCAGTGGGAGGAGATCAAAACAAAGAATTCAGGGGCAACGCATCAATTTTGAGTGAAAAGGGCCCAAGGGGTGGAATAAGAATATATTGCTATTGTATTTTCCATATTGACCATTAAGCCAAAAATCATAAGTGTTCGCTCTAACTTGATATGTTAACTTGTTTTTTGTTGGACTGTAAAATCACATCAGAGCTTTTGTCCTTTCCCTTCAACTTCTGTGGGGGCAATGGGTTTGTTTACATTCCTCCCACAGTGTACAGTACACAATTTGCTTATATCTGAGTTGGGCGTTCCTGTATATAGTCCCTTGGTAGTGATGATCACGGTGGATGACAGTTCTCACCCTGTGTGCCGATACAATTAGTAAAGAATTAGCGTACATAATCACTCTATACACTACAACCTCGTTGGTGTCTATGATGGTTTTAGCCATGAGCAAAAGACTATGCAGATGCTTTCTTACATTTAGTATCAAATATATTTAGGTCTAGCAAGGTTGACTCTCTTAAAAAATCACAAAAAAACTGTAAAACTAGTTATTAAAGCTTTTCTCTAATTTCACTAAATGACTCTGCAGCAAGGTACTAATGCAAGGAAAGTTAATTGCGGTCGCGTTACTCTGCGTACATATTGAAACCAGTTCTCTCTGTGCGGAATTTGTAAACAAGAATAGATGCATCAGTGTTCTTCTAGTACCTGAGGAGAATAAAAGCATTTAATTTTGATAAGTTTAAAAATTCACATAATAGTTCTCTATGACCAGATTATTTTATAGATTATTTTTGTGAAAATTGATTCCATGTCAGACTGTGAAATCCGTCTTGTGTTTACTTTTACACTGCAGTACAAAAAAATCGTACACCTCTGAATAAACTTTCCTTGCATTAGTACCTTGCTCTGCAGTAGCTACTACATAATATCTGCACAGCAATTATATAATAGTAATAATAATAATAATGTTTATCTAAAACTAGATCACAGCTTAAGTTACAGGTTAAATTTAGAAATGGTAGCACTAGATCTATGTACATAGTTTAGACCAGCAATGGTTAGCATCAGGCCCGAAACCATAGATGTTTTTTGTTTATGGGTGGGGGGGGGCACACATGGTAAACACGCGGGGAAACAAATCCCTTTTACACAGTTAAAAAACACTGATTTTACCTTAAATTTTATCTGATAAGGGGGGCACGTGACTCATTGCCCCCCCCCCACCTGGCCCTAGTAAGGATATTTATCTAAGTGAAACCCCTCTCAGCTTTCTATTACTCTTTACAATTCAAATCTATATTTTAATTGTTGGACTCAATTTTCTCTTGTGAAAGAAAAAACAGAATTGATCCAAGCTTAGAACACAATTTTACCGTTTTATCAAGAAATTACCAAGATTTCCCACAAAGTTTTATTTAACAAACAGGGTTTTATATAACAAACAGGGTTTTATATAACAAACAAAGTTTTATATAATAAACAAAGTTTTATATAACAAACAAAGTTTTATATAACAAAAAAAGTTTTATATAGCAAACAAAGTTTTATATAATAAACAAAGATTTATAGAACAAACAAAGTTTTATATAATAAACAAAGATTTATATAACAAACAAAGTTTTATATAACAAAAAAAAATTTATAAAACAAACAAAGTTTTATTTAAGAAACGACAACCTCTACAGTAAGACGCCTTTGTTTCTCGATAAAGTATTTTATGATAATGAAGTTAATTGAAGTCTTTATCAGAATTGTGTTAACAGTCCCTTTAAAGGGACTGTCAACGTAACTTTAAATGACCCTTCATTTAGAAAAAAAGTCGGTCATGCATGATTCACAACGCTGCCCTGTAGACCTTCTCTAGGGGCAAGAATGGCGAAAATATACTTGTTTTTCTGTCTAAAATGGACAAATTTCAATCCTGGTTTTTCTATAAAAGTTACTTTGTGGATTTATACAATGAAATGAAGGAATGAAAATATTATAACTGAAATTAATTGTTGCTCAGATTAAGGTATAATGGGTGTGAATTGTGCATAAAACCCTTTTATTGTTTGTTCATATAAACCTTACATATAACTCTATTTAACGCCAGGGAAGAGTTAGAGTAAAAGTAAAGCTTATACAGAACTCTGAATAATAAAGACATAAATTCAAGCTGGAGAAAATTTCAAGGTTTCCAATCTTTATTTACATATCTTCTACATAATAAAGCTGTTCGCTCTTCTAAATATATACTTTGCTTGTCTGTTTGTCTGTTTGTTTGTATCCAATGACCGTTAAAACGGCTGAACCGATCGAGCCCAACATTTTTGAGGCGACTCTCATGAGGGAAGGTTCATAGAGGATTTCCATTATTTCGGGAGAAAATCCATTCCGTAAACTTTAACTAAAATTAAATCAGGCGCATATTCTATTATTTTCTAGATAGTATTACATACTGGTTTTATCTTTTACATAAGTTTAAGATGTTTCTAACGTTTTTCCGGAACCTTTTCCCGGAAAATTCCGGAACGATTTTTCCGTTAACCGAAATTTTCCGGAACAATATATCGGAACGTTCCGGAATTACAGAAATAGGTTCCGGAAATTTCCGGTTTGCGGATAAAAAAGTCGTTCCGGAATTCTGGGATTGATCCGGAATTACAAAACCTTTTCCATAATTGAAATGGAAAAAAATTCCGGATCATTTCCGTGCGTAAACCGTAACTCGGAATGCCGGTGGAAACCCTTAGGGTTTTATAAATCATAGCTGGTAAAAGTTGAATAATTTTGCCCGGAAAAATGTAAAAATTATTTTTTTCTTTTGAAAAATTTACCAATTTATATAGAGACTTAATCTGAGAACGACTTAAAATAGCGACTTTTAAAGTTAAAGCTTGTTAAAAAATAGTTGATAGGAAGCCTAGTATATAAATATATGTTTATATACAGGGTGTCCCACGAAACATGACAGTTGGTAAATAGTTTAAAATGTCTTCTTCCATAAGCTGACAAGTTGTTGGATACTGAAGAGACTAATACCATTTTTTACATGACAATTATACTATAGTAAAATTGATTTCACATTAAAATATATATGAGTTAAACATTTTTATAAAGAAATAAACTGAAAACAGTCTTTAACAGTATGTGGAAGAAGACATTCAAAACTATTCACGAACTGTTATGTTTCGTGGGACACCCTGTATATATTACAGCTGGCTAAACAGCAGAACCAAATTAACTGAAATGTTTGTCCATGGGTACCCCCAGGGGCGGATATAAGGATTCTGTAGGGGGGGGTAAAAATTTTTAATTTGGCGCGCGAAGCGCGCCGGAATTTTTTTTACCCCCCCCTAGAAATTTTTTTACCCCCCCCTAGAAAAATATCATGATGTATATCAAATTATTGGTTTTAATTGGATTTGATTTGCATTTTCCACTCATTTCTGGGATTTACAAACTCAATCTAATAAAGGCTTCATTACATACCTTTCAGCTTTCACCTTGTTTTATACCCTTCATTATAGTCATTCATTTTACATTAACTACAAAGATCTATAAAAAAACTGAATTTATTTTATTTTAACTAAACTTTTTATATTAAGTTTGCTGGCAAACATTGACAAATAAGGCAGTAATATAAAAAATAATAGTTTT